AAGCATGAATCGTAAGAACATCGTTGGAGTCATCAGAGTCACCGCGTGCGTGCTCGATCGTTAGGTTTAAGCAACAGTTTAATGCGGTCAGGACATGGATGGGTGGCCAATGGTATACCGCTTGGGATCGAAATTATCGCAGGAGGATTCATGAAAGTTTGGAATGTGTTGACAACCTTCGATATCTAGTAGTTTATGAGACATGAGAAAATTAGGAATATAAGTATATTTTTGTAAACATTATGATTTTCTCATTTTTCACCTTTGCATAATAATTCTCAGTATTTGATTACTATCAATATTTAACAGTGATTTTATCAGTATTCACCAGAAATTAAGTACTGGCCAAAAAATTACTGAATTACTGGTAATATTTAATCACTAATACATACATGTACTGAATGATACATCACATACGTGATGTACTGAAATCTTTCCGTTTTCATTCCGTCCTGAGACTGCCGACATTGCTGCGAACGTTCGCACGACATTCGCAGCGAAATTCTATAGTAGCTGCTACCCCAGACATAGGGACGTACTCAGAACGTACTCAGTCGATCGCAGTACATATGAGAACATTCTGAGATGATCGCAATATACGCATTGCGATCAACTCAGAACGTCCTCAGAACGTTCCCGTGCTGTTAGGGACGTATATTTAAAAATAACATCCTTTATGAAATTAGCTAAAAATAGTGAATCTTTAATTTTTATTTGCTAAACTGAGTTTTGGAAATCAATTACAAAAAATTCAAATGGTAAATTTATTTTGCCACTTACTCTGTATTTTGATGATCTCGAAATTAATAATCCGTTGGGGTCTTGTAAAAACAGGAATAAAATTGGTGCTGTATATTGCGCTATTAGTAATTTGCTAAATGAATTTTCTAGCTTGTTAGAAAACACATTTTTAGTACAATTGCATAATTAACAACATCATAAAGCTTTGGGCAATAAACGAATTTTTGCTCATATTATATAGGTCAACAAATTAAAGGATATTTAATATCACATAAAACTTTATATTGATTTCCGAAGGAGTTTGGTGCACTGAATCCAAATCTGGCCTCAGAATGGTGCCATCACGTCAGGATTTTGAGATATTCTAACCTAAAAGTGCAAAAATGGCTGTTTTAGAGCATTATTGAAGTTTCTTCCTGGTTGCATAGAATTTTACCGACAAAAACTAAACAAAGTACCGTAAAGTACGAGTCTTGCCCTTCAATTTCCATTTTGGAACGTCCAAATAGGATTTTTTTTCACCGAGATATAGCAGATTTAAGTTTTTACTGCATACAGAAAATTAAATAAAGCGATGAAGTCGGTTCATTTGAAATACCCTTATAGAAATATCATATTAAGAATCATTGATAATTACTTATTATCCAGTATTTTTAATACTGAAAATAAGTAATTATCAATGATTCTTAGTATGATATTTCTATAAGGGTACCTTAACCCTTTTAGTTTTGAGCGATTCTGGAAAAAAGAGTTTGTAGTTCAAAGGGTCCCGAGGGTCGCTGCTCACGAATCTGGACTCAGATTTCCAAAATTGAAGATAACGGATCCAATATGAAATTTCCAAATCCAAAAGAATTTTGGAAATCTGAGTCCAGATTCGTGAGCAGCGACCCTCGGAAGAGGCAAGGGGACTCACGGTAAACAAACACCCCAAACGTGAGAGGCAAGGGGGCTCACGATAATCAAGCACCCCAAAGGAAACAGAACTTACTACGTCCATGTCGTTGTTTTTGGGTAATTCTAAAAGTAAGATAATCGCATTTAAACAAACAGTTTCTGAGCGCTTTTAAAACCTTGATTGACCTTCTAAAGGTCAAAATAAAAAATTTAAAAATATCATTTCTGACATAAAATTTCCCGCTCTCTTCGAATCCGGTGTCAAAAGTAGGCGGTCCCATTTAAAAAAAAATCACTATGACCTCCAAATGACCTTAAAATTTGACCTCAAGGTCAAATTCATTTATTGAGAAAGATGACCCCCATTGTCCTGAACAAGTTTTGTCTTAACTATTTTTCTATCTGGCTTACCTATGGAGAAATTTGGGTGGGTCCCGTAAAATGGCCTACCGTGTAAATAGACACGTGCGGATATCCAGTGGGCATCTCCAGTAGCTATTGGATGGATAATGATATATGGATAACGTGTTAATATCTAGTGGATATCTCCCAGCAAACATAGATATACAGGGTGTTCGGAAAGTACCGGGACGCCCGAATATCAG